CCTTTTTTTAAATATTTGTAAATTAGCTGGAGTATTATTGTATCTCGTCAGACTCACCTCCTGACTGGAACATGTACTCAAGCACCTTAGTGCCCAAGATGAGGGAAATCTGAGATGGGCACAGTAGGCCTTGGCCCTCAAGGACTGTTGATCCACTGAGTTTAGTTATGCATTGTATATTCTTAGAAAAAGCGGCTTTATGCATCGCAGTCGTAATACGAATCTAAAAAAAGGAAAGGAACAATAACAGTATGTAAGTCGTGTCTTTGAGACGTGTTAGTTTTGGAGAAAGGTGAGAGAAAACTTTTATCAACTTGTTAGGAAATAGAACTGTTAAGTGTTAATTTTTTTTGTTTTTTTGTAGAGTGGACTTTTGTACCTGCAAAATTTATGCAAACGTTTTCAAATCCAATGACAAATCTATATTTTTTTCCTTCAACAAAAGATTATTCCTTTTGGGTGAGTAAAGTATGGCAATTCAGCAATAGCCAAAAAAATGCACTTCGTTTTTTTTCTTTCTTCTTTATTCATGTTTTTCGAAATATGTGGAAGGAGAATTATTTCTACATTTTCTATAAACAAGTCTCAAATAAAATTTAAAATGCAGTTACAGTTATGAAACGTGCGAGCACCTCGTGATGGTGGCGACTCGGAGACACATTTTCTGTCTCTTTCCATTCGAGCATCTATGAATGAAACTCACATGATTGCATTTCATATCGGAATCGTGTATGAGACAAATTATAGATTCATTATTATTACCTCAATAATGGCCACGGTACTCATCGTAGATTCTGAAGGAATCGTGATTTCAGAATGTAAATTTTCGCCTGCCAACAGACGATGAATGGCTTGCTGTCGTGTGAATTGCTCACGATGTCGCGAACCAGTATCATCACACTCTCTCGCATGACTTGATAAGGAACGGCGAGTCCACTCTCGGAATACTAATCATCCCCTGCCTTTGCGTCGAACATGGGAAATGGGTTTGTTATTACTCTGCGACTTCTTCAACCTCCGAATATTGGTTTCTGCCCGTAATGGTAATTTTAGTAATTCTCAACGAGCATATTTATATATGCATGAGTGCTTAAATACATCGTTATAACTTATTTAAAATAGCCTAAAAATGTAGCTTAATGTGTATAATGTGTAATTTGTGTGGTAGAGTTATTACAAAACGTTCAGTGAACTATTTGTGTGTGGTTTACATTCATTGGTACAAACTGCTCTTTGTAGTTTTTATAAAAATGACTCTTCCAATATTTTGATTCTTTTTTTATTGAAGTTATCCGTATTTTGAAAAGTAATTTAAGAGAAAGGCGAATTTACGAAATTTTTCCGAGACAGATAACAATTTTCAAATTTATTTTAATTGCTTTTTATTGTAATGTTTATGTTGCTCGTAACATATACTTTATACAATATTGAAATTATTATTATATTGTGAGAATCTATAATAGTAACATATATGAAGAAGACTTTAATTTAACGCGTGCGTCTAGATATTCTGTTGCGAATAAATCATAATGTGCATGTTAAAAAACATTAATTTCAAGATCAGGCGTCAGATTTCTTTTTACATCGGAAACATGTTAAATAATTGTATAATTTTCTTATTGCTTGAATTTCAGAAATTTTGTAATTTTGTTTCTAATTTGTTTGCTCCGTGATCAGTTTTCTTGTTACTTGGTTATTGTTAAGAAGTGAATATTCAATTTATTTTCAAATATTCATTTTAAGAACGCTGTATAATGTAATGTTTTATGAATTTCTATAAAAGCTTCTCTCTGTGTGTGAGACTGGCATATATGTATGCATTTTATAATCAAACGAATTTTTTTGATGTGTAACATCTTTACTCTCGGTTGCTGGATATTTGATGGAGTGATTTCATGTAAAGGGACGGAAATGCGTAACAGGAAATCGGGGGAAGCGCGCGCTGTTTGATTTGACCAATTCAGCGCCTTGGGGGTGTCTCTTCGCTAGCCTCGTCCAACTGTAGTAGGAATTAAGACGCCCGCCTACCACACAAGTCAGAATAAACTTGTGATTCTTATGCTCAAATGACAAAGTCTCAGGGCTCATTGTGTGTGAAATCTGAGTATATATTTATTTTTGTGTAAACTATATATTAACAATTATATTTCTTGTTAAGCGTCTGACAAAGCTCATCATTCTTAAAAAAAATAGGAGTAAGTAATATCAAATTATTTGAATAAATATTTAAGTGCTTATCATTTTCATACTTCGAGATTAATTCCTGTCACTGTCAATATAATATTTTTAATCGTGATTAAAAAAGGTTTCTCGATTAAAAAAAAACTTAACTAATTAAGTAAACGAGTATTTTTGATTTTCTCTAATATTTCTAATTTTTAAGCATGCGCTTGACGATGTCTCTTCGCTACCCTCGTCTGGGGGTCCAACTGTAGTAGCAATTAAGACGCCCGCCTACTGCACATACCAGCAAGTCTTGTCATTTTGGTGGTCGCATACATTTCTCCGAATCAAACAGTTAAAAAATTAAAGATTTCCTGCATTTTGTACTTTTACCGTATACCGAAGGTACTTCTGCTCTTTTTTTAAAAAAACTATCACTCGCTTCCCATGATTTTGAGTGGTGATTTTAAAGTTAACTTCAGTTTGCCAGAAACTGAGCCGCTCATAGCTTTTCTGAGTGAGTAAGAGAATATTAACGTCGTACTGATTAGCAACACGAGGGCTTTTGGCGACGGTCCTCGTAATTTTGAACCATGGTCAAGTGACGCGGACGACACCTGAGCTGGCACCCCCTCTCCTAACTACCACACCACACCAACGGGAGGACGTTTGAGCTCTCGACAGATTTAACGTGCATCGCTCCCCTACACGGCGGGTCTTTAGTGGTACTAGGATCGAACTCATGACACGCTAGCCATGATCCGATTCCTAGACCACTCGGCCACCGCGGCCATGATAGCTTTTCTGAATGATGAACTCAAGATCGAAATGAACACAAATCGAAATGTTTCGACAACTAACAGTGGTACTGTTATTGACGCCGTTTTTCAACGATTTTTAAATACTTTGAAATCACAAGTATATGTGTCACATACTTTAGTTTTCATTAATCTATTGTCTCCGCTCTTCCCCAAATTGAACAATAATAAATATTTTTGATAAAAAACTGAATTTCTCCTTGTGTTAATTAAATAAAATTTTCATTAAAGATATAATTATTCGATAGAAAATTATTTCCAGTCATAACCGATTCATTTCTTTCAGGATTAAAGTCACTATTGCGTATTTACCATAACAAGTCAGATGTTACACATCATATGCGACTACTGTAAGACTCGTTTCTTTTTATTTTTTATGAATTGTGGAATATATTTTTTTAATTCCTAAATTTAAAAATGTATTTTTACTTTGGTTCTTTCTTTCTGATAAAGGGTGAAAATTACCTTATGCACCTCTGTTCTGTCGTAATCAATTGTGTGCAAAAAAAAACTAAAATAACAGAAATATAGTTTAATTTGGAGCTGAATACTCATTATAAATTAAACAATAAACTATCGATGCTATCAAATAGTTTCAAAAGACAATCATAGTCTAGAAAAAGGTTCGAACTCATGCCAGTGCTACTATTCATATCTTTAATTCTTTGAAATATTCTATCTTGGTAAGAGAACTTCGAGTCAGATTTTGAGCTAGGAAAAATAAATATTAAATATATTGTCGTAAAAACATCCAATTTCGAAGAAGAGCATAAGATTCTTTACAATCGAACGCTGGAAATCAAAGCATCCAAAAGCTTGTTCCATCGGGACTACGAAAGCACCCCTAGAAAAATCATAACTGTAACTGTAAAAAAACTCACAGTTTCTTCTATGCCCAGCGTCTCAAGACCCTTCCACTTCTTCTTTCATCGAATTTTATCGGTCCTCCCCTCCTTATCTCCCCTGAAAATGCAGAGGTTTATATTTATGCGAGTGCGATTCTCCCCCCCCCCTCCCGCCACAGTAAGCAAAACAAAAAACGAGAAAAAAAGTTTCGTGTGACTTTTTTTAGAAGCTGGGGCCTTTCTGGAACACATTACTACCCTATTTGTTCTGCTTGAGAATGATTTCTGCCTCTCTCAAGTGCCTCTCCAGCGCCTGAAATGTTCGAGAGAGATTCCACTGTCGTATTGTTCTGGGTGTTTATGGACGAAGATAATCCCAGGAAAATGGTTTTGGGGTGGATTGTTTCCTGTAGATGCTTTTTTAGCAAATCCACTGGAAGAAATGGCCAAGATATGTTAAAAAAATGTGCGCTTGCTGAGTACTACCGAATTACCCGTTGGAAGTTTGGCATTGTAGCTTAAGTGCGTTAAATATGTTAGGTTTTCGAAATGGAAATTCTTTTTTTTATATCTATTGTGGCTAAAATTTCTGTGCATTATCATCACCACACCTCTATCCAGAAAATGTGTCGAATGTATTCCCATTAATCCATTTTAACGTATTTTCATTAACATTCTTCGATGCTTACATAAATAATTTTTTTTTTAAATAAAGAAGCCGAATTTTCTTTGTTTCATAACAAAAACTATTTATTTGGCATGAGCACAAATACAAGTCTTCTAAAATATAAAATAAGATGTTCACTTGTCAAATAAGTGACGAGAGTCAGTATTATTACGTTGTGGATCTTGAAATCCCCCCCCCCCTCCGATTACAATATATTGAAAAACAAGTAAAAAAAAAAATATTTTAAGTCAATTCCACTTAGAAATATTTTATTTTAGTTACTTTTTATTAAATAATCACAATTAATATAAATACGTATATACATATGACGGAATCACAATATTAAGTGGCAAAATAAAAAAAGATTTTCTTTCTAATTTTCTATTTTCCTTTCTATATATGATGTTATACTATTATTTTTGTTTGTTACTATTTATTCATTTATTAAATTTAATTATTCCAATAAAATAGTATAGTAAAAAGAAATCTCATTCTCAGAAATTTGGCCATCCCAGGTGGGATTCGAATCCACTATCTTTGGATTAGAATTCTAACGCGCTATCCATTGCGCTACAGAGACACAACGAGGGATTTTCCTTTTTATATATGGTGTTGGACAATTATTTTTTTATTACACTTTATTTATTAATTAAACAGAATTAATGCATTAATATCTGAAAAAACTGTATTAACATCAAGTGTCATCCACTACAAGTTTAAAAAGAAATGTATTTGAACTTGAGTGGATGAATAAAAAGTATTTTATTAACGATTGAAAATTTGAACAAGAAATTATAAAGAGAGAAAGTGTGAACAGATGGTAGGAATTGAAAAATAGAATTACGTAATGCATGTAAATTACAGTTTTAACAATTTTAGGTTGAGTATGAACAGTTGTATAGTTTGTACAATGGGGATTAGTCCGCCATTAGGCGGATAGGGTGTACTTCCCCTCTAGCATTCATTAACAATATACTAAACTGCTACAATTTTAACTTCGTGTGAAGTAATAAGCAGAGGTGTGTGGTATGAGCCGAATACAATTGTATAAACTCCTATAATTAATATATGTATATAAAAAGGAGAGACTGAGTGGGAGAGAATATTACAAAACTTAATCGTATATATCGAGAAACAAAATATTGACCTTAAGTAGGATGTATATGAAATAAGCAGCATTTTTTTTTGAGCTTGTGCTTTGAGAAGCAAATAGTAATAGACATCATAAAAATAGCAATAGTAAATAAAATAGTAATCTTTAAAGAGTTGGCATTTTTTTGAGTTGTTTTAATTGTTCGATTTTTTTTATTATCCATAAAGCGCCAATTCTATCTTTGTGTTGTTTTCTAATTATAAATAATTTTTTATGATAACTGTTCTCTTATTAAAGAACAATTTATATTTTATTTTATTATTAACATATAAACCTATCAAAATGTATGAAAAGTGCTGATCTTTGGCATTACTTTATGTCAATATTTTTTTATATTTTGCTAATGGAATAGTCCATCATTTTTACCTTGCCATTTAATTAAATCTGCGGCTCTTTATTGATTTTCATGTTTCTCCACGTAATACATTCAAGAGTGTCAAAAAAGATAAATTAATTACACTCTTCTTATTAATATTTCTAGTCTCAATTAGGAAGAATCATCTTTTTCCCCTTCCAATCAAGACGTAGATTTTTATCGAGGCTTGCCAGCAGTAAATCTCATAGTTCAGTAAATGTTAATATAAATGCATGGTAGTTATTGCCACGTTACAATTTACTTTATAACTGACTGATATTCTTCAAGAAGGCAAAATAATGAATTAAAACAATATGCACTCTCTTAAATTTTTAACTTTCTAAGAAGAGAGAGAGAGAGAGTATTTCATCAGCGCTGCTCGTTAACGAAGTGATTGACTGTTGCTGGTGATGATTGAATTAAATCACCTCTCTTCTAGAAATCTCATTTTTATCTTATGCATCAGGACTTAGTGTATGCAAATCATTATCGCTAATAAGAACAACACACTGTTATGTATGTATGTATGTATGTATGTATGTATGTATGTATGTATGTATGTATGTATGTATGTATGTATGTATGCAAATTTCGCTGTTCCAACCACTCTTAATTATAACTACAAAACCATGCATATAAAAACGTCCTACAAGGTCAGGAATTTCAAGGCATTCTTTTTAATCTATGGAACGAATACACAAGAACAGTGGAGTCTTTTGAAAGGCTCTCAAGAAATTATCATCTTGGTGCTTTATACCCTCTGATAAAAGTCTTGAGGAAGAGTGCTAAGTAGGCACTGACTGTTGGGTTACTCAAGTGCTTGATACAAGGGCTTGATTAACCCCTTGCACGGGAATTGTTTATGGAGGGTTCACTCTATGATCTATTCCACCGTGGGAAATATTCTTGATACTCGTTCTCGAAGTATTTTAAATAAAAAAAGAGTGATTTACGCAAATTGCGCTACTGGAATATTAGATCGATATTTTATAGTCCTTATTATTGCGAACTTTAATAATCAATGATATGCGAAAGGAATATATGAAACTCATTTTTCGAAATTAAAATGCTGAAATAACTGCATTTGAGGAAGAATTTAATTTTTTTTTGCTCTTTTCGTAAATGCTTTGCGAACTCGAGTTTTATCTTCGGCAATCTCTTTAAATTCAAAATATTTTATTTAGATAAGTTTACTAGTAATGATTTACTCATATACAGGTTTAAGCCCACCATTTCAGGAATCGTGAAAGGAAAGAATTTGAAGTATTAGTCGCACGCCAAACCATTTTTTAATTTTTCAATAACTAAGTAAATCGTGTAAGTAATTGTAATAAATTGACTTTGTGCAAATATTTAAATAGACGGTAAGTGGAAGAAAGTAACTATATTAGTTGACGAAGGAACAAGACTGAAAATACAGAGGAGGGTTGGGGGAGATTAAAATGGATATCCTGAAAACGAATCACCCATATTGACCAAAGACTGTAAAATCCATGGGAGAAAGGGAGAGAGTTTCTTCAACCTCTCAATTAAATCAACACGAAAGCTATTGGCGGCGGACCTTGTAATTTTCAGCCTTGGTCAAGTGACAAAGACGACACCCGAACTGGCACCCCCTCTCTAAACTATCACACCACACCATGGTAGTATTTTGAGCTCGACAGATATAACGCGCATCAGCTCCCTGTGCACGGCACGTTTCCACAGGCACCACGACTCAAATCTGCGACACACGGCCTACGATTACGTGACCATAACCACTAGGCAACCGCGGCCACCCCATTAGAGAAGGAAATGAACTCTTCGATGCATCAAGGTCAAAAATTTGTATGTACCTAAAGAAGGTAAGTTCCTTAGAGGAAAAGTGAAGTCCTAGCTCAGGGGTGTCATCTTACTGGGTTTGAAAATTATACGAGAAAACGTTGGCAATAAACTGAGTGATGTTGATAAAACTAAACCTTATTTGTTAATATTACTGGGAATGATTTTATGTCTCTGAATCGAATTATCAACGTTATACAATCTGGATCTTTTAGTCTAAATAAGCAAACCGACCGCGTGCGCGTGTTTATCATTTGACCTAAAATTTGTGCCCTTTAAATCATATACCTAAAAAGTAATAATGCTCAGAGTCCATTACTTCACTGATTTATTTACATTACTGCCGTAATTTCTGAAACTTAATCATAAAACCATGATCTTAAAACACCTCCAGAGCTACGATTATTAAAATCTTCCCTCAAAACTCATCCATTCCCTAATCTCTATGACCCCAAAGCACGAGATATCCTACCATCAACGAGACAGAGAAGTCCATTGAGAGAGAGAAAAAAGCTCTCAAAAGCGGATATCTTTCCTGGTGCACTAAATCGTCTCTTGATAAAGGCCATGAAGAGAGTGAGGTGTAAACTAGGCAATGACCATCGCATTTTTTTACACCGACAAGTACCTGATAGAGAAAGTCTGATGAATTGCATGAGGGGCAACTGTCGTAAATTCGAGGCTGAAGGGCTTCAGGAGCGATAAATTTGTTCTGTAACTCTTCGAGGAACTCAATATCTTGCCCACGCCAACTTTATGAGGATGGCAGAAGGAGTGTTAAACGCTTGTCAGGATCAAGTGAATGCTGCTTTGTTCTCGGGTGTCGTTCGATAGCTAAAGGGAACAAGGGATGATTCACAGGAGAGTATTGGTGCCAAAGGCTTTATTTTTGCCTTTTGGGAATTGTAATGTATAGGCTGGGAATGTAAATTCAATAGTAATTCAAGAGAGATTTCTTCATAGATTTTTCGTAACTCTTTTATTACCATATTAGGGTGGGGGGGGGATCCATATAACATATTTTGACAGATTTTACATGTGTTAATGTAAATTTTTATTTATTTAGAAATCTTTATCTAAATTTAAATTTTGTATCCATACAAGGGAGCGACTCACTTCTTACTCACTCATTACGATATTTCATTAACTATTAGACCTATAGGCTTGAAATTTGGTAGACATGTTTCTTTCAGGCTGTCTTCGGCTAATGTTAAAGAATAGGGACCAAATTCGGAGTCTTTTTTGAGATCTAAAAGTACTCCAACGTTAATATTATATTCTGGCTTCATTATCCTGTAGAGAATCACTTATTTTATCATACTACTCATTTCTATCCGATTCGACACATTTTTTCTTTTATAAAATGTGTTTCCCATTTTTTCTCATATACTGTAACGTCACTTGACCATGGTTCAAAATTATGAGGTCCGTCGCCAAAAGCTCTCGTGTATATCTTTATATATGAAATATACGTGTCACAGTGTTTGTCCGCAATGGACTCCAAAACTACTCAACCGATCATAATATAATTTTGCATACTGTGTGTCATTTCGTCCAACTTAAAACATAGGATGGTTTTAATTTCAATTAATCACGCCATAATTTTTTTATTGCCGGAAATGTAGAGAATCCGGAAAAAACATTGCCAGATTTTGCGAATATTCCCGCGAAGCAAAATTTTCCCCTTTTGTTTTGTCTATGTGGGAGCCAGAACGCTCCTTCTAATTTATTGCTTAGATCAGTGCAATCACTATTTTTTTTATTATGAGAATAAAACTAGATTTCGAAGGGAGAGGTTGTATCAATGTCTTTCTCTATTTGAATAGATAATATTGATTTTTTTCATGGAGCATTGGCCAAAAAGAGATTAATTATAGATTTAAATGTTGGAACAATTAATTGTTCTCGAAATTTGATGAACGATATGAGATCGTAAATATAACCTTTGTTTTCAATTCTCTTTTTGAATTAACTGATATATTGGAATAGCGCTTTGAAGTGCTTGAAGCTTGCTAAAGGTAAGAAGATTTTATTCATTATAATAGAAAGCATGAAAAAAAAAAAAAAGTGCGAACAGCACTAAGATCGGCAGCGACACGGTTAATTAAAACCGTTGAGAATTTATTAAAAGAAGAACTGACTGATTTTGATTCCCTTGAGGAAAATTTGAATTTAATAATAACTAGATCGGAAGAGTTAAGAAATATTGATGGTTTAATTTTGAGTGAAATCACACATTATAGAACGATAT